CTCCTCCTCCTCCTCCTCCTCCTCCTTCTCCTCCTCCCCCTCCTCTTCCTCCTTCTCCTCCATCTCATCCTCTTCTTTCTCCCCCTCCTTTACCTCTTTCGCGAAGTAATCGGAATCTTTATTATATTCTTGTTACATATAATATGTGTTTAACAATCGTTCGCTCATTTCTTAGCGATACATCGTACGTCTGTAATCTTTGTTACGACCACCCCACTTTTCATTCGCATCGACCGATGAATGTTTGTAAATTAGTATCTAGATGTATATAGAATCCGGTAGAGAGACTAATCCCAGACACGGATACGTTCCGATCGTTAATTAATGAGCCTCGGTCGCCGATTCGCGAGCGCGATCCTCCGATCGCACGAGCGCGAGGAGAGTTCTCACCACGCGGTGATCGCGGATATATTTTGATTCCATTTGATACGTAAGAAACGATTCTGATCTGTTGGACATTTTCCACATAATCGTACTGCGCAAAAAGAAAAGAAGAGGAAGAAGAAAGAATAACGTGTAATAAGATAGTGTTAGTCATTTTATATGGGAAAAGAGAAATAAACTGTTTTGTAAAAAAGGAAAACCAAAGAAAAGAGAGCACACACGTGTTGTCTGGTAGGTAGTCATAATTATTGTCTCGATAAGATGAATGATTGGTATCGTAACGGTCGCGATGTTGAAATTGTAGAGAGATGAAGGGACCACAAGTGAGAGAGCGAAGTGAAGGAAAAGCGAAAAGCGGACGAAAGAGCACGGAAGAGAGCGAGGTTGACCCGCTGTGAGTGTCGGTAGTGGGCGATTCAGACCTAATCTGGCGAACGATCTCGGTAACTTATGCCCGAAAATTTACGCTACATTTATTCAAATGCACCTCGCAGACCTTGTTAATGGAGATGCGAGAGGAGAATGTTGCAGGCGCGCGACGGACTTGTTTTTCCCACGCCAACCGCGCCTCCATTGCCATAAAAAGACAATTATACGGCTATTATACACGCAATAAAATAATTTATAATTATGATTAATTGCGACAATTATAATGAATTAACGATCATTTCCGTGTAACAGGTAGACGATTGCCAGGTGATGATTATGAGACGACGATCTTTTTCCTGGACTGTCTTTGTTGCAGTCTTTGCCAACGATTTCTGTTTTTCGACAATAATTATGATAGTCTTTCATCTCGTCGTTCATCTGTCCTTTGAAAACTCATGTCGGGCTAGATATTGGAGATTCGGGATGGTGGATCAAAGATTAGAATTCATTAGCTTCAAGAAATCAATCAATTTTGATCTTTGCTTGCTTGATGAAATTCCAATCTTCAATTTACAATCCTCAATCTCCAGTAAGATCTCCAATTTTTAATTACAATTTTTTCTTGCCAAGTTTCTAGTCAATAAATGGCCAAGAAACATTGGCCGATATTTTCCGAGTTTTTACAGAAAAATTACCCAGCATTTGCTTATCATTTTTATTGCCTAATAGCTGATCAAGAAATATTGGTCGGTATTTTTCCGTCCAGTTCTGAAATGGTCAGTGTCTAACAAATACTAGTTTCTGGCTAGTGACCAGTTTTTCCTAAATTGTTCTACTTGGTTCTTGCCTGCATCAAATGATTTTAAAAAAGAGCTACACAAACAAAATTGCGGATAACCGTCAGTGATCGCAAGAAAATCCAGACTTGTCCAGAACGCCAATGACTAAGGGGGATCAGTAATTGGGTGTTTCGCCCTGCTCGAGTCGGGACAAGTCGGGCACAAGCCGCAGGCTTTCTCTCGGTAACGGAGAGGCTCGTGAAGATCCGCGAGAGCGCCTCCTCACTCGAGGGAACTCGAGCGCGCAACCCTTTCCGAGCACCATCGCCAACACCACCAACACCACCTTGGCCGCAGGGAACCCAGAACGGTTTCAGGGTTAACAGACCTCGCCGCCACGGTGTGGAGGCGAGAAAAGCTCCGGGGAAGAGGCGGTTTGCGCGGACGACGGTGGTGGTCGGCCTCCGCGGTGTCCAGCACCGGGGCGGCCCCCACTCCGCCGATCAACGGTCGTGAACGGCGGTGGCGGTGGCCATCGACGAGGTGGTGGGCGATCCACACCGGTGGTGGTACCAGCGCGCACCAAGACTCCCTTCTTTGTTGCCGCCACCGCCACCGCCGTCGCTTTTGCTAGAAAGGTGACTATGCCGCGAAGACAGGAGGCATCGAGCACGCCTCGCGCATACCCAGTCACCTTTCTCTCCTCGTGACCGTAGCATATGTTCTGCGAACGTCCATGGCGCTTCCGCGGCTCTGAACAACGGCGCGCTGCTGCATCGCCGCTGCGGTCCTCGTAGGCAGTCTCGTGTCTTGCGTCGTCGCGTCGCGTCGGAGGAGATCGCGGAGGAGGCACCGCACGAGGTGTGGATTACTCGATCGCCCCCGGGGACTGTATCGATTAATCCCATCGTTCTCACGGGACTTGGAATTCGCGGAGCGGGATCGAGCGAATTTCGCTTTCAATCGACCGAGACTTCGCGCCGTCGATTTCTCACCCCTTCGCTTCGTGTAATCGGTGTGTGAGAGTCGCGTTTGAAGAGAGAGAAAGGATGAGTGTGTGTGTGTGTGTGTGTGTGTGTGTGTGAGAGAGAGAGAGAGAGAGAGAGAGAGAGAGAGAGAGAGAGAGAG